AGTAGGCCTATGCTTTCTTGCTAATAGGCCTATGTTCTGAATAGGCCTATTGCTTTCTTCTAATAGGGTCTATGCTTTCTAATAGGCTATGCTTTCTTGCTAATAGGCACTATGCTTTCTTTCTAAATAGGTCTATACTTTCTGTATAGGCCTATGCTTTCTTGCTAATGTCTATTTGCTTTCTTTCTAGTAGGCCTATGCTTTCTTGCCAATAGGCCTATGCTTTCTTTCTAATAGGTCTATGCTTTCTAACAGGGCTATGCTTTATTTGCAGGCCTATGCTTTCTAGTCTTTCGGACAGTGTACATTTCTTCCTCGACAGGAGTTGAAATAAGTCTATGTCAGGAAAAAAAAAGGAAAAAGATAAAGGTAAGGAAATGATTGATAAGTAATTAATAGATGAAATAAAGGTATATGATAAAATAGAGGAGAAGGAAAGGGACTTGCCCAGGTACCCGGACTCAAGTGCTTCCCTTACGGAGGGGGGGGGGGGAGAAAGTTGGAGTGGAGGCGGGCGTGGTTTGGAGGGTGGGAGGGGCGGGGAGAAGGAGGAAGGAGGAGGAGGAAGAAGGAAGAAAAGAAGGAAGTAGAGAAGACGAGGAGAAGAATTAGGAGGAGAAAGAGAAGAAGAACGAGGATAAGAAGAGGAGACAAAGAATGATGGATTAGGAGGAGGGACATAAATAAGAAGAAAGAGAAGAAGGAGGAGAAGGAGAAGATGTTAGGAATTAGGAGGAGGAGGAGGAGGAAAGATTTGGAAGCGGTAGAGGTGGACTGTGTTAAAGGTAGGAAGTGCATTAGGAATGTCGTTTGTGGGAAAGGGGGGGATGGGATGTGGAGGAGGAGTTAGGAAGGAAGAAGAAGAGAAGAAAGAAGAAGAAGAAGAAGAAGAAGAAGAAGAAGAAGAAGAAGAAGAAGAAGAAGAAGCTAGCAGCAGCAGCGCAGCACAGCAGCAGCAGCAGCAGCCGAAGAAGAAGAAGCAGAAGCAGCAAGCAGCAGCAGCAGCAGCAGCAGCAGCAGCAGCAAGAGCAGAAGAAGAAGAACGAGGAGGAGGAGGTGATGTGGTGGAGGAGGATAACGGCGATGTAGAGAATGATATATTCACAGGTGGAGGAGGGAGTTGGATCCGATAGGAATGCAGAAGGAAAATCGTCGGGTCTTAGCTTGGAAGCGAATGCGATGATGTCCACATGTTGATGTGGTGGGCATGAGGTGGCGATGTGATGGGCATGAGGTGGCGATGTGGTGGGCATGAGGTGGCGACGTGGTGGGTATGTGATGTGAGGTGGTTATGTGGGTGGCGATGTGGTGGGTATGAGGTGGTTATGTGATGATGAGGTGGCGATGTGGTGGGTATGAGGTGGTTATGTGATTGAGGTGGCGATGTGTATGAGTGATGTGATGGTGAGGTGGCGATGTGTGGTATGCAGGTGGTTATGTGATGGTGAGGTGGCGATGTGGGTATGAGTGTTTATGTGATGATGAGGTGCGATGTGGTGGGTATGAGGTGGTATTTGTGATGTGTGGATGTGTGGGATGAGCGATGAGTGCTGGTGGGTTTATGAGGTGTTATGTGATGAGGTTGCGGCATTGGGATGAGTGTTATGTGATGAAGGATATGAGGTTGATGTGATGATGAGGTGGCGATGTGTGGGTATGAGGTGGTTATGTTATGTGAGGGGGCGATGTGGTGGGTATTGAGGTGGTTATTGATGATGAGGTGGCGATGTGGTGGGGTATGAGGTGGTTATGTGGATGATAGTGGCGATGTGGTGGGTATGAGGTGGTTATGTGATGATGAGGTGGCGATGTGGTGGGTATGAGGTGGTTATGTGATGATGAGGTGGCGATGTGGTGGGTATGAGTGTTATGTATGATGAGGTGGCGTAAGGTGGATTGATGGTGAGTGGCCGATGGTGGGTGCTGTGTTATGTGATGATGAGGTGGCGATGTGCTTGATGAGGAGCGGCCTGGACGGCCTCCTCCGCCCCGGAAGTTTGGTACGCCGCTTGCCTCATGCTTTGTCTGACCTGTTTCTCTCCCTCTTTATCTCTCTCTCTCTCTCTCTCTCTCTCTCTCTCTCTCTCTCTCTCTCTCTCTCTCTCTCTCTCTCTCTCTCTCTCTCTCTCTCTCTCTCTCTCTCTCTCTCTTTTCTCATTCTCACTTCTTCTTTCTTTCTCCCCTCCATCTCCATCATCCCTCCATTCATCCCCTCCTTTCCCTCCCCTCTTTTCCTTGCCTCCTCCCTCCCTCCTTTCCCTCCCTTCCCCTTTCCCCCACTCCCTCCACTTTTTTTTTTCTTCTATCCCTCTCCACTCCCTTTCAGTTGCTTTGTTGTTGTTGTTTGTTTAGTTTTATGTTTATTTTTTTACGGTCCTCCACTTCCCACAGGCGTTATTACCCTCGTCCTTTGTCTTGTGTTATCAAAGTCTCTCTCTTCCTCTGTCTCTCTCACTCGCTCACTTTCTCTCTTTAAATCTGGCTTTGGGTCTCCGTTTCTCATTTCTCTCTCTCTCTCTCTCGTCTCTCTCTCTCTCTCTCTCTCTCCTCTCTCTCTCTCTCTCTCTCTCTCTCTCTCTCTCTCTCTCTCTCTCTCTCTCTATTCCTCTTATTCTCTTTATTCCTCTCTATTTCTCTCCTCTCTCCTCCTCCTCCCTCCCTCCTCCCTCCCTCCCTCCTCCCTCCCTCCCTCTCCTCCCCCTTCTCCCCTCTCCCTTTCCCCAAGAGAAAGAAAAGAGATGAAAAAAGCGATTGAATGGAGACGGGAAACGGGAGAGAAATTTTTGAGAGGATGATGATTTTGAACAAGAAAGGAGGAGGAAGAGTAGGAGGAGCAGAATGGTGATGATAATGATGATAATGACGAGGAAGAGGATGGGGATGATGAAGATGAGAATGGTGGAAAGAGGAATAGGAACAGATGATAAAACAGAAGAGAGAAAAACGAATGAAAGAAGTGGAAGAAAGAGGAAGTGAGCAGAGTGCAAGGTACACCCCCACCCCCCACACCCCACTCTCCTCCTCTCTCTCCCTCTCCCCTCCTCTCCCCTCCTTCCCCGCTCCTTCTTGGGCGAGACTTGCCTTAGTTGCAAGGCCACTGGAGAGGGTGGGGAGGGGGTAGAGGAGAGGGAGAGGGAGGGAGTCAGGGAGAGGAGAGGAAATGGAGGAAGGAGGGAGAGAGAAAGGGAGGGAAGAGGGGGATGGAGGAAGGGGGAGAGGGAGGTTAGAGGAGATAGAGGAAAGAGAAGAGGGAGAGGCTCAGGGGGGGGGGGAAGGGAGGGTAGAGGAGATAGAGGAAAGGAGAAGGGGGAGAAGAAAAGGTAAGAGGGAGGGAATCGAAGTAGTAAGGATAAGATTTAAAACTTGGGTGACGCCATCTAGTGATTGGCAAGGATTCTGAAGGATGTCAAAAGGATTTTATTTGCGTTGAGCTCGAACGACGGGAAGAGGGGGAGGAGGGAAAAGAAGAGAGGGGAGGAAGAGAAAGAGAGAGGGAGGAAGAGAAAAGAGAGAAGGGGAGGAAGAGAAAGAGAGAGGAGGAAGAGAAAGGAAGAGGGAGGAAGAGAAAGAGAGAGGGAGGAAGAGAAAGAGAGAGGGAGGAAGAGAAAGAGAGAGGGAGAAGAGAAAGAGAGAGGGAGGAAGAGAAAGAGAGAGGGAGGAAGAGAAAGAGAGAGGGAGGAAGAGAAAGAGAGAGGGAGGAAGAGAAAGAGAGAGGGAGGAGAGAAGAGAGAGGGAAGAAGAGAAAGAGAGAGGGAGGAAGAGAAAGGGAGAGAGAGAGAGAGAGACAGAAAGAAACAGAAACAGAGAAAGAAGACAAGGTAACAGATACAGACCGAGCGAGAGAGGAGAGGAGAAAGAGAGAGGGAAGAAGAGAAAGAGAGAGGGAGGAAGAGAAAGGGAGAGGGAGGAAGAGAAAGGGAGAGAGAGAGAGAGAGACAGAAAGAAACAGAAACAGAGAAAGACAGACAGGTACAGATACAGACCGAGCGAGAGAGGAGAGGAGAGGAGATGAGAATGAAGATGAGATGAGATGAGATGAGATGAGATGAGAGAGAAGAGAGGAGAGGAGAGGAGAGGAGAGGAAGGAGAGGAGCAGAGAGGAGAGGAGAGGAGAGGAGAGGATGAGGAGAGGAGTAGGAAGGAGCAGGAGAGGAGGGAGGAGAGGGAGAAGAAGAGAGAAAAGAGGAGAGAAGTAAGAAAGAGGAGAGAGAGAGAAGAGGAGAGAAGAGAGAGAGGAGAGAAGAAAGAGCAGGCAAGCAAGAGCAGCGAGACGGAAGCGGCGTGGCGAGAAGCCTTGCGGGAGGAATCGAAAAGCTGCGTTCTTGGAACGAATCGCCGAGAGAGCGAATCCCTATTTGGCGACAAGGTTACCGCGGTGCCGTGAAGGCGTAG